GATCACTTTTGAAGCAGTAGACAAGTCATTAACTAGCTCTATTTTAACATTTTTAGGTTTAAGTTACCCCTTAAGCGTCATTTGTTTAAGTAATAAGAGGTGGAAAGAGCTTACTCGCCATACAATCAAGGTGAAGAAACGATCCAGAGGCAGAAGGAAGTTGCATGCTCCTGCCGTCGGCTAATACCGTTTTTCGTCAGCTAAGAATTGTGCCCTGGAAGAACAGTGTAAGGAGGAGGTTTCGCTTTACACAATAAGCTGTACCAACCTTTCGGGGTCAAAATTGTCGAAAATGCATCAGTAGCCCCCAGAGCTAGGGATTGAGGAAAGAAGTGAGACTTACACTTACAGCGGGACCATTAAGAACGTTGGTACATCCAAATGTGCAAATCTAATGAAAAATCTGCAAGTGACGTTGTCTCCCATAAGGGCGTGTTGTAAAGCGAGTCCTTTAAGCACAAACCGCTAGTTTCGGAGAACTGTTTAGGGGTCTGAGTAGAAGTAAAAAGTATTGCAACGCAGGGGTTGGGACACAAATGCTTTTGGCGAAATAAATGCTCACGACTGTTTAAAGGATGTATGTAAGGACAGACTTGCATGCTAATGCAGAAGCATTTTTATAAAGTAAATGTGTCGTTTGAAACTAGTCACCGATGAGTTTGTACTTTTAGATTATTAATTTTTTTAAGGGAATCTCATGCTTGATAAGTCTTCCTAAGATTTCTTAATATTTCTTAGGTTCTGCCAGAAAATGCGGCCTTAAAGTACACATCGGTTTCCTGATCGACACTAAAGTTTGAAGAAGGGAAGAGCGACCGCCCATCCTCCTCTCCCATGCTATGTGGCAAATGTCCCGTGCAACGAAGCAAAATGACGGCAAAGTCTTATCCCAGCTGTCCATATTAAAGCTTCGTAAGTCGAGGAGAAGGCGGAAGTACACCAATAAGCAAAAGGTAAAAAATGTTTGTTGGCAAGCTAATCAAATCCGGAAGTATTTTTTAAGAGTGAGTGATTACAGTGTTCTCTTTGATGCATCTGCCGACACCTTCTCCTGTCTATCTGCTACATGATGCTTTACGATTTTATAAATAAATGTTGACGAATTCTTCTAGAATGGTGCGAATCCTAATGCAATTAATATTCCGAAAATATTGGTATGCAATGAGTCAACCGTGCTCAAGACAGTTATTAAAACATGCCAAATAGTGAAAAACAACAACCATATGCCTCGTCAGCCCTTGCTTTCACAGCATGTAAATGCTCCCTCCTTAAAATCTAGTCATTATTTACAAAAATTCACTTGGCGTGAATACATACTGCTTCCCGGACTTCCTAGAAAACGAAAGGAGGTGCATCTCATCGTTTAAAGGTTTCTTACATAGCACTGAGATCCAAGAGATGTACAATTGGAAGGTCTCTAAGAGGCCCGTCACTGGAAATGGAGTTTATAAACCGGCTAAAGCAATACCCAACCCCTAGTCTCCTTTGAGCAGTGTCTGCAGAGTTCCACTTGATTAACCTTTTGCATCTGTCATTACGACGTAATCACTTGCAAAAATAGCGTTTTAGTCAGCAAATGTGCGCAGCTTATTAGATTTCAAGAGGTGATCTGCTGACCACTGCTTATGCTCAAAGCCAAGTCGTGGGAATAGCTAGGTTTAACAGTTATGCATAACTATGGCGACTTATTCAACCATTAGAAAGATGGAGGCATCACTTGTTAGGTTATGTTGACATTCTCGCATAGGTACTGCATTGACATGAACTAAATCAGCTGGTTTACGACAATAATTTAGTGAGAGGTTAAGTGCAATAAAGACACTCCTGAGGACCATGGAGCTGAGACAGTTATCAAATCCTGCGATATGTGTGGCTGATCTTGAGGATGGATGTGGTTGTCTAAGCTTTGTCCAAATGCGAAAGCAGACACAACTGGGACATAAAATATGCCCCACGGTGGCTTATTGGGCTACGAGCGTGGACAAGAGATCAAATCAGGCCATTCGACAATGGCTCAGCAGCTATACCTTGTGTAACCTATTCTCAAATACTGAACAAATAACAAATTATATTCATGCTACGTTAGGTAAAGAAATGTGATTAGAAGAGGAAAAGAGATAACCCGCTAATAAACCTTTTAAATTACATTGCAGCAATATTAACTCCTCAAAGCCTAGTACTATTGAAATAGAAGTGACTACTTATTGCAGAAGAGATGCTTTCAAAAGTCCCGTCACTAGTCCCTCCCCGATCTCAAAATAAGAGAAGTCTTCAATCTGCCAGGAAAATGGGTTAAGGGTTTTGGACCAGGACGCAGACACAGAATCCTGACTGATGGCGAAGTTCTGCAGAATTCAATGTAATACGTAGGTGAGAGTAATGGCGGAAGAAATAACCTGTTTCATAGGTTATCCCTTAACTTCAAGGAGAAATAATTCCATTCCATTATCACAGCTACCACCAAAAGGCATTAAAATACAAATGGGACCGT